ATTAGCTCAACCAAAAATATTTCAGCTCTGCAGAATCTCGTTGTTTGGCCAACAGCTTCCATCAGAGGCTCCTGACACAGGTGTTGTGCTCCCTTTAAATGTCACCTGTTCCTTTTACAAGCTGCAAACATTCCGATTCTATATACTTCTCTTGTTCCTGACACCTGTTTGCCTTGGGAGGGGCCGCGCTTCCTGAAATGTCTCTGACTTGGCTGAAGAAATTCTTGTCATAGCAGCGAGGGGATGGGCCCTTGGGGGCCGTTCAGTTGTTGTGTGACCACAGTGGAAAAAATGAGGCCAATGGGGGACACAGGAGGAACAGCACTGGAACCCTACTGCTATCCTCCTTGGTATGGTGATTTGTGGTTTCTGGATCCTGAGTTGGCAGAATCTTCACGTCAAAGGATATCCAACAGCCACACCGAGAATTAATTGTCCAGAAAAGAAATTTATTCTCATAAATGTTGGATCTGTGACAGTCTTTTATCCAAACGCGTTTCGGGGGGACAGAAAATACCACCTTCATCAGTGTTTGTAGGTGCTGAAGCACCTACTGTTGTGCACGGCTGTTGTGCCTCTGGTACAGGAAGTAGAGAGAAATTTAAGTAAACAGAAATTTAAAAAAAAAAAAAATTAAAAAAAAAATTGATTTTAACCATTTCCTACCCTATACAAAACCAAAAAGTTTAAACTTTACCGTGCAGTCAATATGCGTCCTCACTGAGAATGCGCATTCATTTCTCCGTATGGAAGACGCTTAATTACTCGTTACCATTGATTTTTGCCTTATGGCAGAGGGGTAGCAGCCTCGGCACTCCAGCTGTGATGAACTACAAATTCCATCATGCATCTGCCCCTGGGAGTCATGCCTGTGGCTGTCAGGGTCTTGCAATACCTCATGGGACTTGTAGTTCCACAACAGCCAAGGCTGCCCATCCTGTTCTAGTGTAATGTAGATGAGACTTGCAGCCAGCCCCACGCTGAAGGCAGTTACGTTGTCCGCATGACGTCCGACTGCTCGCCTAAATGGCGGTTTAGCCGCACGCGCTCGGCGTATTATGACCGTAATACTGTAATCAGGGGATCGGGAAGCCGCGCAGCCGGATAATTAAGATTCATCGTCTCCTGGAGAAAGCTAAACAGGGAAATTAAAAGGGCCATTAAAGCGGAAACGCCGGCGACTTCCACATGAGGAGCCTTCCAGTAACAGCCGTAACCATCATAAATCGCGTGCTGCGGTTGCTGTCACGTCAAGCCCGCCTTTGTTTGGTCGAGCGGCGCGGTCATCGTCCTAGAAAGTAAACAAAGTCAAGATAATGATGTATCAATTTTGGCAAAACGTTGCCGCGATCTCCCGCAGCTTCCGAGCCGTGGACTGAATTGTTCACGTTATTTGCGCCTTTCGTGAACTTTGCTGTCTGAGGAATTCTCCCGTGAATTCGCCGCCTCGCACATTCTGAAGACTCAATAAAGACCTGCTAACTGGCGTGGAAAGGCTTCTCTGAAAGTCCCGGTATTAAAGCTGAACTCCGAGCTGATATAAAAGACACAAATTGTAGCTCTGGATTCATTATTCCTCAATAAATGTACACTATATTACCAAAAGTATTGGCCCCTCCCCCTCCAAATCATTGGATTCAGGTGTTCCGTGACATTTCCTGGCTACTAAAATATACCGCGGTCACCTGTTACTGGTATTATAACAAAGTGGAAGCAACTGGGAACAGCAGCAACTCAGCCAGGAAGTGGTAAGCCACTTAAAAAGACAGAGCGGGGTCAGCGCATGCTGAAGTGCGCAGAAGTCACCACCTGTCTGCAGAGTCAATAGCTACAGACCTCCAAACTTCGTGTGGCCTTCAGATTGGCACAACAGTGCATAGAGAGTTTAATGGAATGGGTTTCCATGGTCGAGCAGCTGCATCCAAGCCGTACAACACCAAGTGCAATGCAAAGCGTGGGAAGCCGTGGTGTAAAGCACGCCACCACTGGACTCTAGAGAAGTGGAGACGTGTTCTCTGGAGTGGCCAATCATGCTTCTCTGTCTGGCAATCGAATGGACGTGTCTGGGTTTGGTGGTTTTGGACAATTTCCTGCTCCCAACGTTGTGGGAGGAGTTTGGGGTTGGCCCCTTCCTGTTCCAACATGACTGCGCACCAGTGCACAAAGCAAGGTCCATAAAGACATGGATGGGGGAGTTTGGGGTGGAGGAACTTGACTGGCCTGCACAGAGTCCTGACCTCACAAATGGTCCAACATTCCCATAGACACACTCCTAAACCTTGTGGACGCCTTCACAGAAGAGTTGAAGCTGTTAAAGCGCCAAAATGTGGAGTCAACCCAACACTGAACCCTACGGACCAAGACTGGGATGCCATTAAAGTTCATGTGCATGTAAAGGCGTCCCAATACTTTTGGTAATATAGTGTATCTTTTATAATGCAAGCAGTGAAAGTAGCATCCCTAGCATGAGGTCTGTACAGCAGAGCTCAAACTAGGGGGGGTGACCTCATCAGTGTGCTGCTTCTCCTTTACCGTCCAGTCACAAACCAGGTGGGGAGAAGACCTGTAGGTAACACTTGCCGGTCTGCAGCAGAGAAAAATCCAGTCCCCCTGTGTCAGCTCTTCTTCCAGTGTTCCAAGGTAGAGGATTGTTCGTGACATTGTATCTGTTTACTGAATGTTTTCCCCGGAGGAGTTATGTGTAGGAAGCTGATTTCAGTTGCGTGTCTCTGAAACACTTATTACGTATTGTGGTTGACTACGTTAACCCTTAGCAGAACCACAGAGAAGTCATCGGCACGGCTGCTTGGGGTGAAATCAGAATCTCGAGCTGGTGGTGGACATCTGAAGGTAGACATGTGGTCATCTGATGGTGGCTTTTGGTCCATCTTCAGAAGCCATGGGTTGGCAGCGAGAAAAGAGATATTGATGCCGGAATCTCCAGCGCTGGCTGATTTCATCTGTTGGGTGTTCTGACTCTCCAGTCAATAATTCCTCCACGGCCAATGTTCTTGGGTTCACATAGACATGGCACCAATGTGGTGATGTTCTCGTATCTGCAGTCCCTAACTTCCTGTAACGATGTGTATGCCGGGCGACAACCGTTGATGGACCTCGTTTTTGAATAATGGAACCTGCCGAATGCAACCGGCGCAAATGCTGCAGAAACCTTTTTGCCTACTTGCAAAATGCTAAAAAAAATATCAGCTGCTCCTAAGCTCTGTATGTTGAGGCTTTCCCTTGGCTCGAAGGGTGTCAAAACCAGGCAGGGCCTCGTCCTTGGCCCAAGCTTTTCCTTGGCTCGACGGGTGCCAATACCAGGCAGGGCCTCGTCTTTGGCCCAAGCTTTCCCTTGGCTCGATGGATACCAAAACCAGACAGGGCCTTTGCCCAAGCTTTCCCCTGGCTCGACGGAGTACCAAAACCAGACAGGGCCTCGTCCTTGGCCCAAGCTTTCCCTTGGCTCGATGAATACCAAAACCAGACAGGGCCTCGTCCTTGGCCCAAGCTTTCCCTTGGCTCGACGGATACCAAAACCAGACAGGGCCTCGTCCTTGGCCCAAGCTTTGCCTTGGCTCGACGGATACCAAAACCAGACAGGGCCTCATCCTTGGCCCAAGCTATCTGTAGAACCAAGAGGAAGATGGTGGAACATTATGGGAATCTGTGTAAGTAAAACTTTTTTATTTTAAGGATTGACAACAGGAGGAGGTCCCCACCTGGAACCTCCTCCTTTGACAGGTTCTACCCAAAACTGGGCTTAATTGTAGAGTCTCCATGATTACGCCCAATTTATGATAAAAAGTGTTAAAGGAGGAGGTCCCAGGTTAGGTTCATGTTGTCTTAAAAAGTTTCACTTGCAAGGATTCCCACGATATGCCGGAAGCTTCTCTCTCTTTGATCTATGGAAAACTTGTGCTGAGGACAAATCCCTGCCTGGTTTTGACAACTGGCCAGTCGAGGGAGAGCCTCAGTATACAAAGCTTGGGAGCAGCTGATCATTTTCTAGTATTTTGAGAGTGCTGCCATGCAAGCAAAAGGTTTCCCCAGCGTTTGTGCCAGTTGCATTTGGCAGGTTTACTTATTTAAAAATAAGGCAGCTGGTGTCGGGTGCTTGAACCAGACGGGCTCAGTCTTGGCCCAAGCTATTTGCAGATCCAACAGGAAGAAGCTGGTGGCACACTATGGGAATCCTTGTAAGCAGAACTTGATTGTAAGAACAGACCACGAGAAACCCCACCTGGGACCTCATCCTTTAACACATTTCACCAAAAATTGGACTTCATCATAAGAGTCTCTGTGATTTATGTTTTATTTTCGGTGAAATGTGTCAGAGGAGGAGGTCCCAGGCATCTGTCTTTCACAATTTCAAGGATTTCATGGGGTGACCAAGTGGATGGCATCGGGCTTAATGAAATATGTCAGTTCCCTGCTACCTTCACCATCACTACACCCCTCTCAATTTTTTGAAATCCTTGGAATGTTGATGTCCTGGGTCCCTTGCTGTGCGCTATGGTTCCTTCTGCCAACCCCTATGTCACTATAAGACATAGAAGGGATGAAGTGGTCAGCGGGAGGAACCACTTAGCACAGCGGGTGTCCCAGGAGATTGACTGTCCTTGAAGGGTCAGTTTCCGAACAGACTTTGGGGGAGCGATCTAGCTTTTCGCAGTACGGGCAGTGGGAGTGGTAAGTATTCACAATCATAGTAATTCTGTCTTATTAAAGTAATTCTATTGAATTGATATTTATTTGAATGTATAAACGTACCTCCATTCCTCATAGAAGTCCTTTATTTTGCTCTTCTTTTTTGCCTCATTAGTTGCTCTTTTTCTCCTTTTAGAATTTATCCTGCCGCCTCCCCCTCCCAGTGATGACTCCGTCTTGAGCCCCACCGTGTGTTTCCCGCCTCCTCCACCCTCCTTCAGTGATGATATTCTCGGCTCCCCGACGTCTAGTTTCCCCCCTCCTCCGCCTCCTGAGTTTGCCGAGCCCTTCCCGCCCCCCGCAGAGGAATCGTTCCCATCACCACCTCCATTGGAGGAAGCCAACGATATCCAGGTAAGGACGACGAAACGGGGGGGTTTGATCATTATTCTTATGGCTGGGTGCCCCTGGCAATACAGAAGAACAATGTCCTCCACGTCCTTGTTGGTCCCATTTTCATGGAGCATTTCATTGTCATCAAAGTTTATCTGTCTTTTATAATTGTTCTATGTTCTTTCATTTGAAGTTGGCGTTGCATGTTGCATTGCATGTTGGTAGAGTGCTGGATCCAGATTTTGGTAGATAATTAGATAGTTAGGTCTGCTCTGTAAGATCCAATGGTTCTGAAAAGGAGTGCTCCGGAATGATAACGCTGAGTATGGTAGAATGAAGGGAGCGGTAGACCAATGGTTGGCAATCCAGTTTAATTTGTATTCATCATCAGAGTAAGAAATAAAGATATTATAGTTCAGGATTTAAAGTGATATTTAAACCTTCATATTTTTATTTTTATAATTCACTTTATTTCACTGTAAACTTCTTTTTTTTCTTCCCTGGTTCTCTTGTTGTCCCCTTACCACGGGCCCTCAACCCTGTGTGGCTGCCTCCATCAGCTAGCTGTCTGCTGAGGAGTCACCCATGTGTACATGTTCATGGCTGTGCCTGCACCTAGCTGTGTGTGTCCGGCAAGCCACGCCCCCCTCCGCTCCCACAGTCTGACTGGCGTCAGAAGGAGCCTATTGCTCCTCTGCCCTCAGTGCCCACCCCAACAACCAGGATGTTCGGGGAATGGAGGACATCTTCCCCAACCAGGAGGAGGAGGCAAGGAACCACAAGTTAATGTAGGGGAAATGGGGGTTACAGAAAGGCACGGGCATTTTTTTTTTTAACCACAGAATACATTAAGGTAAAAAAAGTCATACTTGCCCTAATGCTCTGATACTTACCTCCGATACCGGAACTTCTGGTCAGAGGGAGATCTCCCCCTGACTGGCAGTGCTGAGGGAGCATGGAGCCGGCTTCCTTTTCAATCAGTAAGCCGGGTGGTAGGTTATGACCCGCTTTCCAGCTTCTTGGTTGGCTAGGAAGCTGGCTTCACTTATTGCTAGACAGCCTGGCTTGCTAACCTATCCAGAAGGCGGGCGGCGCGTAGTGACCCCTCCCCCCCCCCCCCCCCCATCCGGCTTCCTGATTGGTCAGGAATCCAGGCTGCCTAGGAACAACTGAAGCCAGCTTCCTAGCCATTCAGAAAGCCGGGAGGCGGGTCATGACGTGCTGCCCGGCTTCATGATTGGCTAGGAAGCTGGCTTCACTTGTTCCTAGGCAGCCTGGCTTCTTGACCAATCAGGAAGCAGGACGGCGCTCATTAAACGCCTATCGGCTTCCAGATTGGTCAGAAAGCAAGGCAGCCTCGGCAAGTGAAGCCAGTGTTCTTTTGCTAGAACATCGGCTTCACAGGCAATCAGGAAGCCAGGCAACAGTTCATGATCCATCGCCCGACTTTCTGATAATCTGGGCACACGGCACTGGTATCAGTACTCTGTATCGGCGCATTTTTACACTCACGATGAATAATAATTATATCAGGACTGGCAACCATACATTTTCTGACTCTCTTCTCTTTATTCTACCAAACTTACTGTTATATTTATTTGGAACATTCCATTGATCAAAGTATTTGGATGATATACACAGTACGGGCATGTCCTGGTAATATGGGAGCCTGTTTATGAAGGACCAAATTGGTGTTTTCGTAACTATATTGATTCATTTACATGTTTTATAAGTGATTAAAATAGGATTGCCATTTTTTTTAAAGTCTCCTTCCCCCTTTTTTATTTTTAGATGCATGTCTTCTTTTTTTGCTTTTATTTTAATGTATGTAAAGGCAAAACTAATTTTAGATGTGGTTAGAATATGGAAGTGTTAGGCCCACTGTCAAGGTTAAATCGCTCTCTGTTGGGTTGTTTAGAAGCTTAAAGCTGGCCATACACTGTGCGAACTTCATCCAGTACTTGATGAATCGGCCAAAATTCGCACAGCGGGTGTCATTGTCGGCACCCTTTCGGCCGGTGTTCTGTCGAAAGCTCCGACTTGTCAAGATCTCTGACTGGGCATGTCACGTCCAGTCATGTCACGTTCAGTGACTTGCCAGTAGGAGATTTAGACCTGATGGCGCTGGTGCGTGTGCACCACTTGTGCTCCTGTCAGAATCCTCATTGAGTCCTGTCACTGCACCTGTGCGGCTTCACAATGCGCCAGCCATGCTGCTGTCAGAATCCTTATCGAGTTATCGAACTCCCGTGATGAGGATCGTGAAGCCGCTCAGTGACGGGTGCTCGATAACCCAATGTAGATTCTAACACTGGCACCTCTGGCGCACTAGCTCCATCTGGTCTAAATCCGCTACTGGCAAGCCACCGGATGTGACGTCACCAGTCGGCAATCTCGGCGGGTCAGAGATTTTGACAGAACACAGGCATCCCTCCATCAGCTGATCAAAGGAGCTGGTCGTACAATCTTCGACCGAACAGAGCGGCCAGCCAATCAGCTTTCCTCTCATTTCCTATTGCGTCAGAGCACAGTGGGATACAGACAGCAGGCAATAACCTAACAGTGGTTTGTAACGATTCCCTAATTTATCCAATGGGCTATATGTATACTTTGGGGCTGAGTTACAACTCTTCAACCCAGGATATAGCTGGGCAAATGCTCTGCTGCCATCAAATGGTGCTGAGGAGCATGGAAAATTCCTAAGCTCCTCCACGCCATCTTGTAGTGTCCTGCAAACACCATTCGTCCAGCTATACGCGCGGTGGACAAGTTGTAAATAACCCCTCAGATATTGCACTTGAGTACTATATATATTATATGTACATTTTTTTCATATTCTTCATGCTTCAAGCCCAACTCTGGGCACAATAATCATACCGGGTATTCAGCAGTTATACCTTCTATTGCCTCAGAAACAATCACCCGTCATACAGTCTTTCCTCTACATTAGAACGTAAAGGCAGTGTTTGGCACTCACGTGTGATGCAATTAAAGGGCACGATGGTGGTGATCTCTTCTGATAGGATCGGTGTTGGTTCAGTGGTGGGACACTCCTGGTGATGTGGTCATGGGGTCTCGCCGTTGAGGTGGAAGGGCATCACAGGGGTTGGTGGGCTGTCTGGATCCTTGAGTGAAATCCCGTTTGAAAACCAATGTGGGAAGGAAACAATACAAAATTGTTCAGAACGTCTGCATATATGTATAACTGGATGTGAATTCTTTACTCACATGCTGGGGAAGTACAACTCCCACTGTACTTCCGGTCATCTTGCATGTAAGCGCTTCAAGTCCCATAGACCCCAATGGTGTGGTTCTGTCTCCACAGACCCAAGCTTCAAATTATGAATGGCCAGGAGACACAACAGTATCACTGGAGTGTATGAGACCAAGCGGGCTAGGAGTACAGTGGGAGCTGTACTTCTCTGGCATGTAAATGAGCAGATTTGCCTGATGTAGAAGAAGGCTTTCATGACTAAGGGTTGCTTTTGAGCCAGTGACCGGTATAACTGCCTAAACTCTGGTGAGTTTACTGTGCTCGGAGTTGGAGCTTTAAGTGATGCTAATTTAGTTCCAAAGGATTGTTCACCAGCTTGTCATCTAGTTCAGTCATTCCTTGGAATTCTTCTTGTTAGAAGTCATGGTTCTTCTCCCCTGATCAGCCATGGAGAGTCTTGCTCCTCTTGTTTCGGCAAGGAGGTCATTCATTTTTTTTTTTCTCTGTATTAATCATACTCCTTGTAATGGCTGTAGCAGATGGACGGCGTTGAAAACTTCAGGAACTTCTCTGCTTTAGCCCCGTCAGTGCTTTGCTTTTTTCTGTGGACCACATGAATTGGAAGAACACAGAAACCCTCTATATTGGCTAATTGCCTTTTCAGCCCCACAGAATTACCAGCTTTCTTTTTTAGGCATGCCTCCCAGTAGACATGCCTTCTAAAATATATATGTATAGTGAAAATCTGAATGAATTACGTTAAAACATGACTTAGGTCTACAAAAGTACTCTACTCTTGGTTCACAGGTTCCACCACCTCCTCCGGCTCCACCCATTCCAGTGGTATCTGCACCGAAACCTCCTGCACCAGTTCCTTCCAAGCCCACTGCCCCATTAATGTTTACTCCAAAAACTCCTCCTTCAGTTACCCCCAAGCCTGCTGGCCCGGCTTCTTTCACCCCTAAGCCCCCTGCTCCTGCACCAGTTGCTCCAAAGCCCGCTTCCCCATTTGTACCGAAAGTCTCTGCTCCTCACATGTATTCCCCTTCACCACCTGCTGCTAACCCTCCACCGGCTCAGACCTTCTCTCCGAAGCCAAGCGCACCATCATTTTCTCCAAAACCGGCCCCACCTCACACCTTCACTCCACAGCCTTCTGCTCCTCACACATTTTCTCCCAGGCCCACAGAGGCAAGCGCAGAGGCTCCACGACCAGAGCAAAAGTTTCCACCATCGCAGCCTGTGATTTCCGAACCTCCTGCGTCCTCCGTACCGTCATCTGTGCGGTCCCCGGGATTCAGCTATGCAAATCAACGAGAAAAGCCTCAAGTGCTTGAGAAAGCCAGGCCGGATGAAAAAGTCAGGATTGCAGCCCCGCAGATGGAGCTCAGCAGGAATTTTGTGCCACAAGAGAGTGTGAAAAGCGGGGTGATAAAAGCCAATGGGACACCTAGTCCCAAACCACACCAAGAAAATTTTCAGGTGGCAAGACCACAGTCAGATGGCGTGCAAACCAGAGGACCTCAGCCAAGCCTGCAAAGACCTTCGGAGCCTGTAAGGAACTTTCGTTTAAATGCTTTTAAAGTGAATAGGGGCAAACCTTGTCCAATAAATTGTATATGTTTATGCAGCAGCAGGTGTCAAGTCAAGCTAGGGGATCCAACTGCAGATTGCTCTACCTAGATAACACTAGCTGAATTGGGTGAATGTTTTCTTGGGTTTAAAGTGTATTATTATTATTGCTCTCCATTTGTCCTATAGGCCATTGTTCTCGGGAAAATCCCAAATTTTAACTTGTCACCAGGACAAGAAAAAATGGAACACTTGTCCCAGTGGCAACTGTGTAAGAGAGGATTTCCCCTCTGAGAGATTTGCTCACGTCCTCTGGTGTCTGAGACAGGAAGTTTAGGGAAATTTTCCCAATGGGAAAAAAAAAAAACCTGACAACCTTTTTTTTCAATATTTACAACTCTATCTAATAACCAGAACCACAAAATGTTTTTTGCCTTTAGATATATGTCATCGGTAGACCCCTATAGTCCAGGTTAGGAATTATTTTTTTGTATAATTTCACCATACCCATCTGCAGGACACATAAACATGATGTGCCATTGTGTGTGACCATGCGTGTTCTTGTGGTTGTTGGCTAGAGGAGGATCATTGGGCAGAAGAATTGTTGAAGGGGGGGCTATTATTCCAAAGATTTATTCTCTTGCAGATTAGGACTGCTGGCTCAATTGGCCTAAACATGAAGGAAGTGGAAGAGCTGGAGATGCTGACTCAGCAGTTAATGCAGGAGATGGACAAACAGCCTACCGCAGAAGGACACGTCATGGGTACCTATGTTCTTTTTTTTTTGTAATCACTGACTTTTCATAGTGCATGAGTGTCTTCTAGTATTACTGTGGCATTTGGGTTCTTACAGAGAACCTGCCACAAGCCAAGGCTACCATTGACAAATGCTGACATGATCCTTAGGCTTTGGTACATTGTAAATCACTTACATGGAACTAAGTATGCAACCATTGAAGTCAGACAACCTGCTGGGCTTTCTTGCTTTGGGCCAGTGGCTCAGGTATTATTAAAGCCAAAAGCTGGCCATACACCTGGCAAAAGAGGACATTTACTAAAACTAGAGCAGACAGAGGCACATCTGTGTATAGGAACCAATCAGCTTCTATCTTTAGCTTGTTCAGTTAGGCTGTGAAAATGAAAGTTAGAAGCTGATTGGTTGCCATGCAGAGCTGCTCCAGCCATAGTAAATTCCCCTCTATGAATGCAACCAGTGAATTCCTACCGCCTGCTGGGCTTTGCTTGTTTTTGGCCAGTGACTAAGATATTATTGAAACCAAAAGCTCGCCATGTACGCGGCACTTTTTAGTCCTTTTCAACCGCTTTTGAGCTACTGGGGATCTCAAATAAGAGCTAAAGTAATCACCAGAAACAAATCTACCATCCACAAATTTGATTGGCCACTAAAATTCAGTCAATTGTGAATGAAAAATTGTCCAAGAACAGAATGGGAGGTGTGAAAGTTGTGGCACCCCTGGTTCTAGTTACATAATCCCATCCTTGGTGTCATAGATGCATTCAATTCCTCGTATCCTGTTCTTGGAGAATCAACATCTACATGTTCCATGGTGTTTGGATTAAGGTGTCTGTGCTACCTGTGTGGATATAAATGCTGAGGTATTATTCTAAAACGTTTTAAGACCTGAAGAAGTGGCTCGCATAACCATGAAATGTCTTAACAGAACGGAACAATTCCAGCTGAAGGTGACGAAACACTACTAGCCAAAGTCAGATTGCTTTTCATTGCCCCCTATGTGGGCAAATCACAGATTCACGCTGAGCCCATTACAGCTAGGTAGGGGAGAACTAGTTGACAATCTTGGCTGACCTGACAGGTGGGGGTTGGGAATATGGGAGCAGTAAAGTCTAAAGGAATAAATTGCCCTAATAAAAGAACAGTGCTGCCTCTGTTTATATACATGAACTGTACGTGTGTTACATTTCCAATATTGGTACAAGAAAACATTTAAAGCTAAATGAGGCTTTCTAGATGCTGCCAACAATGTTCTCTAAGACGACCATAGTTAGTTAGTTTTGATCCCAGAATTATTATTATAAGTCTATTTTAAACTCGAGTGGCTCTCGAGGTGCCCGGAAGTCCTTCAGTAGAATGAAAGCAAGCCCAGTCAGGCTCTGACATAGCAAAAATTTACAAATTACCAATTTGCGTGCCAGAGACCCGTTTTAATATTGTATGCGGTGTTCACAGGGATCACCACTCAGTGAGGTTCGCCTGCTGTAATGTAAACTCTTAAGAGCATAAGTTAAGTGGAAGTCTTAAGTGTTTAACCCCTGGGGGCACTGATGAAGGCTAGGGCCCCACTGGAATAGTGGAACTGAGCCGACTGTCGGCTTAATTTATGTACTTGATTATTTTTCGTCATCTTCAGTTATAGTTCGGATGCTGTGCCTATTGAAGACTTGGGAACATAAAGACAAAGGAGCCGGTTCAGAAGTCAATGCAGGATCATTTACTAAGCCAGCTCATGCATGAAAACAAAGGTTATAGGCCTGACAAAACCCCCTTTGCCAGCATGTATGTAGTTGCTCCTGCAGTGACACCGGTCTCCACTCTTCTGGGAAGGCTTTCTACAAGAGTTTGGAGGGTGTCTGAGGGAATTTGTGTCCATTCAGCTAGAAGACTATTTGTGAGGTCAGGAACTGACGTTGGATAAGAAGACCTGGCTCCCAAATAGGATTTCCAATTCAATCCAAAGATGTTCAGTAGGGTTGAGGCCGGGGCTCCGTGCAGGACCCTTGAGTTCCTATGAAGTTTTGTACTTTATATATTTTATATGGGCTTTAGTTATTTCATATTTATTTTTATATATGGATTTTGATTACCCTCAATATTAATGGATGTACACATTATTCACATATATGATTTATACTTATTAATTTGCATAACCTTGAATATCAATGAGTCACACATTATTTCACACTGTTTAATATTTTTTGCACCATACTTATTGTATTTTATGTGTACACTTGATATATACGGTGGTATACATACATAGGTGTGTTTTGGGTTGTTTTATTGTTCATTTGAAAGGTTTATGGGTTATATTCAATTGGTACACAATAAGGGGAGATAGCGTGGAAGTTCACAATTGTCTTTGTCAAACATCTTTGTATGCTGTAGTGCCCCCTCACTAGAAAAAAAATAAATATCTAAATTCAATCACTTGGAGGGGGCTTCATACAGATTTGGCCATATAGGGTATCCCTTTTGGGATCACTGGCTCTCTAAGGTCTTAACTATGGTGATATTTATGTTTGTGGTCATTTGCCTGGTGCCGTGTGATGGTTTTGTTGGCATGTCAAAATCCAGTCTATTTTGCTATGCTGGAGGGTATAAACGGTATTAGTAGACGTGTGAATTAGATTTGGAGTCCTTTAATTAAATCTCCTTCTAATTATTTCCAGACTGGAAATCTGTTTGCCGGTTCTCACGCAGATTAGCTGCTGTAGAGCTGCTATTGAACCTTCTTAATCTTAATTTGTCAGGTATTAGTAGGCCAGGACAGGAAAGGGCACTCAGAGTGCAGTTATCCTTTTTGTACCCTTCCCCCTGACCCAACCTAACGCACCCTCCCCCTCCGCAGATGTATATTTACCTCAATCTGATAACGGCGATTCTGCTGTTGGTGTGTATCCATTGTTGCAAGCCTTATTGTCCTAGCCGCTTCTGTGCATTCATGCCCCATGGACTGTTATGGGGCTGTGTTCCACTCCCTACGCCAGATAAATTCCTTTACAAATCAATAGGACACTAATGTACATGGTCAGCCAGGACAGTGAAGACTTGCGTTGCTGGAGGTAAACAGCAGAATTGCCGTCATCCAATCAAGTGTATGCATCATTATGCAGGTATGCATCAGTGGAGGGTTGGGTTAGGTTGTGTCAGAGGAAGGGGGCATAAAGGACAAGTGCACTTATCCTTTAATGCCCAACTCCAATACCTTTTTTATTATGGTTTTCGGGGAAGGGTTAGAATTTCTGTCAGAACTGAACCCTTGTATAATATCCTTTTTTGATTTCTCTAAAATATGTAATTTGAGGGCCTGCCTGTTTATATAATCAGATGTAACATCTGTAGTTAAAGAAGAACTCGAGTCTCGCCTGTTTCTATGCAATGGGCTTCTGCTGCTCTTTCATTTTCTCTCCTCCCACCACTATGTGCCTTCAGATTTTTTTGGTAGGGGATTGCAGCAGACACGCATCCTGTCTGTGTGACGCCCAGCCTCCTACAGGACTCACTGGCTGTCATAGACTCCCCCCCCCCCCCCCCCCCGACA